GTGTGTCTCTGTGTGTGTCTCTGTGTGTGTCTCTGTGTGCGTCTTTGTGTGTGTGTGTGTCTCTGTGTGTGTCTTTGTATGTGTGTCTCTGTGTGTGTGTCTGTGTGTGTGTGTCTGTGTGTGTGTGTCTGTGTGTGTGTCTGTGTCTGTGTCTCTGTCTGTGTCTGCGCGTGTCTCTGTGCGTGTCTCTGTGTGTGTGTGTCTCTGTGTGTGTCTCTGTGCGTGTCTGTCTGTGTGTGTCTGTCTGTGTGTGTGTCTGTGCGTGTGTGTGTCTGTGTGTTTGTCTGTCTGTGTGTCTGCGTGTGTGTGTGTGTGTCTGTGTGTGTGTCTGTGTGTGTGTGTGTCTGTGTGTGTGTCTTTGTGTGTGTGTGTTTGTGTCTGTGTGTGTGTGTCTTTGTGTGTGTGTGTCTGTGTGTGTGTGTCTGCTTGTGTGTGTCTGTGTGTGTGTGTCTGTGTGTGTGTCTTTGTGTGTGCGTGTGTGTCTGTGTGTGTGTCTGTGTGTGTGTCTGTGTGTGTCTCTGTGTGTGTGTCTGTGTGTGTGTTTCTGCGTGTGTCCCTGTGTGTGTGTCTCTGTGTGTTTATGTGTCTTTCTGTGTCTCTCTGTGTCTTTCTGTGTCTCTCTGTGTCTCTCTGTGTCTCTCTGTGTCTCTCTGTGTCTCTCTGTGTCTCTCTGTGTCTCTCTGTGTCTCTCTGTGTGTCTCTGTGTCTCTCTGTGTCTCTCTGCGTCTCTCTGTGTCTCTCTGTGTCTCTCTGTGTCTCTCTGTGTGTCTGTGTCTGTGTCTGTGTGTGCCGCGCGCGCGTGAGCGAGCAAAAGCGTAGTCGACATCGCACCCCCCAGCGATGTGCTTTGCAAGTCCTGAAACTCATGTCACGCTGAACGCCACATGAGTTTGCTGCGTTCGGGTCCCAGTGGTGGCTGGGTGGCATTGCTTTTACGGCTCAGGCAGAGGGTTGAGGTAGAAAAGACTAATGAAGCCGTTCCGCAGCTTCACTTCACAGTTTGCCGTGCATTTCACAGGCGGGGCAGACTTGGCTGCGCCACCTGGGGCTGAAGCGCATGTGGCCTGGCGATGAGTAGGCAGCCGGCAGTTTCCTGCGGTGCGCCGCTGAAGCACACCAAAGTCTCAAAGCCCCGGGCAGCCGTTTAAGGCCGTTCTGAGGTGGGTTTGGTCGCGTTCAAAAGGCAACGCACCCTGATGGATCGCGGACATGTGGGTAGGTTTTGTGCATTAGCGGCAATCCCTTGTTCAAGCAGCTTGGCTTGGAGCAGACATGTCGGCTGCCACAAACTGTGGCTGCAGATTCTTGTAATTTGGATTGATTTCTTCGGCGTTGGGACCGCTGCAGGTGCTCAAGCATTCGTGTTGCAGCGGTCTTTGCTTGGCTTTCTGCTTGCCAAGGTGAGCCACCCACCAAAAAGATAGCATGTCGAGATACAGCAGACAGGATGTGTTGCGGTGGACAGATACCTACAAGTTCCAGAAATGTCAAGGAGCTCTGATGCCAGCGTCACTTTGGTGGCATTCCCGACAGCTCTCGTGGCAGCCCTTCATGACATAGACATACCACTCGATTGCTCATATGATGCTCCACCAGACATATGCAAAGCGCCAAACAGCGAGAGGGGCATCTAAACCAGGAGCTTGACATGCTATTCAAAAAATAAAATGTTTTAAATTATACATTCTCATGCCTACTGCCTACTATAACGTGTTCATCCGGATCCCCCGATCCAAACCATTTAGCTTTCCCCCCATGAGCCAATGCTCGCGGATTCGTTGGGGCTGCGGCTGCCGCAGCTGGAAGAGCTCGGCTTTCTTGCGCGGGGGCCACAGCTGGATTGGCGAAGCAACGGGCATTGTTTCGCAGTGGATGCGTTGAATAGATGTGGCTCTGGGTCAACACCAATGGTACCATTTTGGGGTAGGTGCACCCGTTTTAGTCTATTTTAGTGGGGATTGGGATGTTGGTACGGGATTTTGACCCATGGCCATGTGGCTCTGGGCAAGCATGCTTGGAGCGTCAATGTTGAGGTATGTAGATAGGCAATCTTTCCTGCAAAGCCAGCCCGCTTATGTGCGGGTCGTGAATGCCATTGCGTGTGGGGTCAGCATCCCGTGACTCCTCAAAGTAATGTTAGACCCCCAGTTGGACCTCTATTGTAGCAAGTCTTTTTCCTCATTCAGGATCCTGTGACATGTTTTGTGCAGGAGCAAAAAAGCAGAAACCGTATGGGCAAAAAACCACTGGCCAGACAAGTCGGGCAAACAGAACAAATCCGCGCAACCATGAGGAACTCACTACAGTCACGCAAAGAGAATTGCCCACAAGAAGCCCCGATCCTCTTCAATGCGATATTTGCCACTTAAGCATAACAAGTATTTCATTACTGTATCATGTCAGATGTTGGCTCCCAATCTTTTATACTCATTGTTTTATCATTTCCAATAACACTATAACATTTTCCTAAAATGTATTGACTGTTTTGGGGTCCTCTTTAGTGTCCAACTTTTTCTGGGGTTGCTTGAAATTCCCCGATTGAAGCCTAAGACTTTTACTTTTAACGGCTGGTTCACCTAACCAAGCTCTTCCCAGCTAGAAGGGTAAGGGCCTTTGATCTAGGAGATCCATTTTGCAAGTGTTCCCAAATCATCAGAGATAACTTCTTTACAAAGAAGTTCGGGCAAACAATCATTCCTGTGACTGTTTTGGGGTTTTTTAGTGTCCAACTTGTTTGGGGGTTGCTGGATCAACGCGCTCTCCTCTCAGCTAAACCAGAATTGGCAATACTGAAGTAAAAATCTAGGAATCTGGAGAGTTGTCTTGGCAATGCGGAATAGTCGTGGCAACACAAAAGTCCAAGTCCAAGTCCACCCGGACCCCTGTGGATTGTCACTAAAGAGGGTCCCGCTGACTGGTTCCACTGTTCCATCATGCGGGGGGGGAAGCACAGTAAAGAGGGCCCAACATTTATCCGCTCCCTCTAACCAAAAATGTTCTGCGCACCCTCTGTCCCCTTCCAAAATCATGTCTCGCCTGGGGGCCGTAGGGTGCATGCTTGCCGCTGCAGTTCTGTCAGATGTGGCTTGCTTTGAAGCCAGCGCGCGGCGTTTGGCTGATCTCGCCATGCGGCCCATTCTCTTCTTCGCTGTAGCTTTCGGCGGGCTGCGGTGCTTCTCGCCCTTCTTGGCGTCACCAGTCCCTAGCAGAATGCCACGCAGGAGTGGCCCTGCTGGGTGGATGGAGTCCCAGGGCTACGAGATCACCTCCCAGCAGGGCGGAGGAGGTAGCAGCTGGGCGTCGTTTCAAACCCTGCAGACCGACCAGGGGGACTTCTTCGTGAAGACGTCCCGGCGCTCGGCGGCGGAGATGTTCCAGGGCGAGGCGCTGGGCCTCGAGGCGCTCCGGGCCGCAGGCGGCGTGGTCGTGCCGAAGGTGCTGCACTACGGGGACGACGGCACAGGCGGCTCCTTCATCATCATGGAGAAGCTGCGCATGGGCGGGCGGACGGACATGCGCGAGTTCGGCCGGGCGCTGGCAAAGATGCATTTGGCTGAGCCGGCGCATCCGGAAGCCAAAGCCGGGAAGTTCGGCTTCGAGGTGGACAATACCATTGGCGGCACTCCGCAGAAGAATGCCTGGACCAAGGAGTGGGTGACATTTGTGAGGGAGCACCGCATGGGCCCGCAGGTCAGAATGTCTGGCAGCTCGGATCTGAAGAGAGCCTGGGATCGTGTGTTGAAGGAGACCGACAACCTCAAGGACCTCTTCACCGATGAGGAAGTCAAACCGTCCATTCTGCACGGCGATCTGTGGAGCGGCAACTATGAGATGACGCCGGATGGCGTGGCCATTTTCGATCCGGCCACATACTACGGGCACCACGAAGCAGAGTTCGGCATGTCCTGGTGCGCCGGATTCAACGGCGACTTCTGGGCCGGTTACCGCGAGGTCATCCCTGAAGCGCCGCTCTTTTCCAAGCGCCGCAAGCTCTACGAGGCCTACCACATCATCAATCACTACAATTTGTTTGGGGGCGGGTACCTCTACCAAGGCATCCGCCTCCTGGAGGATCTCTAAATGTATGGCTCACATGGTGAGCCGATGATTTAATTATTCAGCGACCTCACTGGCCAGCGAGTTCGGCCCCTGACGGGATTCGAAGTTTCGGAAATTGGGTGGAGAAACTGGCAGCCTTGGTTTCAAATAGCCACAAGTGAGACGTGGCGCCATGTGAGACCTCTAGAATGACCGCCACAGAGATGTGGCTTACTTCGAAGGCTCTTTGTCTTGGACGTATTTGTTTATTGATAGTTTGGTACTGGTTTCAAAATGTTTCCCACACCGACATTGTACTGGATAAGCCCAATATTGGGGAGATTTGGCTGGGTCACAAGATGCATGCGAACAGCCCATGAGTTAGTGCGCGTCCGTCCAGCTTGCGCTTGGAAGCTAAAGTTGAGGCAGCCGAGACGGATCAACGGAGTGAGCCAAGACGAAAGGCAAACAGAGACTGGCGCGAGAGATGGGACTCGGGAAAATCGGAAAAGAGAGGTGGGAGTGTTGAGAGAGACGCTGGGAACCGCCGCCCGAGGAACTATTTCAACGCCAATTTCAACGGCGTCTTCGAGTTCTATGGCGTTAAGCCTTTAGCTCCTCAGCACGCGCCAGGGAGATGGTCCCAACCTACGCGCTGCAGAAGTGGCGTTTTTGGAATGAGCTTCCGAAAAGATATGTCACTGGGTGTTTTATTTTTGCTGGCTATACTGACTGACTGCTTTGAACAGGACAGTCAACCAGGGATAACATTAGACATTTGCAAGTCTTCAGCAAACATTCACAACCATCTACCGCAAATGGCACGTGAGGTTGTACAAATAAACCCGCAACACGATGAGGAGTCAAGCAATTACACCGGCATAGACCCCGGATAGCATAGGAGGGGAATACACTCCCCCAGTCAGGAACCATGATGGATCTGCAGTCACGAACCAGTATGCGCTGTATATACATTTGTAAGCCGAATGAATTCAGCCGCCTCATGATGACTTTGGCAGCATCATGCACAACAACCACCAGCAAAACCACATACTAGTAAACGTTATGCGCAGAAATTGCCTTTTCTCACACCCACACGTTGGCCGGGCGCAATGTTGGCACAGTTGTGATTTTCGAGCTGGAGCTGCCAACCTGCACTTTGAAAGCCTCCAAAGTGCACTCTGGGTTCTACGCGTGTACCCAAAAAGCCGCTGTTGTCGAGCTAGAGCTGCCAAAGTGTACTTTGCGTGCCACTGCATACAGTTGTGTTGAAAACTTGCAATTCACAAGATGTAGCTGCCAAAGTCTGCTTCGCACGTTACACTTGCAGTAAAGGGTCGTGATTTCGAGGTTGAAAGGACAGCAAACATGAAACACCCAGGGTGTTTACTGCAAAGCAAAAAGGAGTAAAAAGCCACGAAAAGGGCCTCTAAAACATCATACTTGATAGGAGCAATTACTGCTGCTTGGTAGATGCAGGACGCAGCTTTTCCCCTGCCAAGGTGCAACTGCAGCTGGCGCTGGCTGTGGCCACTGTGGCCCTTGTAGCCTTTCAGCGATGGCGGGGATGAAGCGTTCATGTTTTTGTTTCCAAGCACAGCCAGACTTATCCAACCTCGCATGGCAAGTGCAAGCGCGTATATTGAGCAACGTACGCCAGAGCCAAGAGGGCTCGGAGAGCGAGCTCCGAATCAGGCGCCTCGACCGGTCAGCGGACCGACAGTTGAAGGCGGCGGGCCTTTGTGAGGCCATTGGCCAACTGTCCTTGTTGGGGAAGCTTGGGGTTCGGGTGCGTACCTCATGCATGCGTGGTTGAGCCTTACACAAGTTGCGAAACCCTGCGGGCGTCACTGTGTCTAAATTGGCTCGCGACAGGAGCCAACTCCAAGTCCGAAGTTCAAATGTCAGGACCTGAGGAAGAGTTGAAACCGCCGCTTCAATGGCAGTCACAAAATAGAAAGATTACGACCTTGGGAATATGAGCAGCTTTGGCCAACTTCGGAACACTCTGCGGGCCGCAACCTTCCCTATTGAGGCGAAGATGACGTCATGCGCCAAGGCTGCAACACATCAGTCTAGAATGCCTTTCAAGAACTGAGCCAGCTTCAAACTCTAGTTGCGTAAATCTCACAGCAAATTCAAAGTGTCTCGAGGTAACGGTCTCAGGAACACCAAACGAGGATCGCTCCAAAATATGCACAGATTTGTTGCCTGCGGTGGATTGTTTCGCGATTGAAGCCTGTGTGGGATGTCAAAAGAGTGCTCCTTGACAATTGCCTTCTTAATATTTACCAACAGCGAAGCTTTGCCTCCAAGCGCATCAACCCTCAAAAGAGTTGAAGTAGCCTCACACACGCAGAAGCTCTGAGAAAAAGCATTCTCAAAAGGAACGGCCTTTTCCATGAGCATAGGCGTCCTTCTTAGGTTAGTTTGGTAAATAGATGGGTTCCACTGGTTTAGATGGGGTTTGTTCCATTTACCAGGGAAACCCATCTATTTTCAACCAAAAGACCACCTATGTCCATGAGAAGTGTTGAGCTCGTGAGGATCTCACATGTGCTCCGCGCCCGGCGTGCCGCAGAGCGGCCTCCGGAGCACCAAGCAGTCCAGGATGGGGGGCAGTCTGCTGGCGTCAGCCGGAGCTTTCTGTTAAGTCAACTTTCTTATTTTCTGTTAAGTATCATGTAAGTCAAATGCTTTCTGTTAGGTCAATGCTTTCTGCTGGCCAGCATCATGTTTCTTGTCTTTCTTTGGATTCCCGTGCGCCAGTGCATGCACAGAACCGTTCGGAACCGCGCACAGCGAATGGCATCGTGTCAGGAGATGGCAAAAGATTTGCTGAAACGCATGGATGAAGCGGAGGCGAGCTTGTAGGTTTGTGAGCGAAAGAGGGAATTGAGCAATTGAACTGCTCTTCCAGGCTGAGCAAGAGAGGTGGCGCAGAAGAACCAACCGCGCAGGGCAGGAAGATAGAGATGAGGGAGGGGAAGATTGTGACACAGAGGATGGAGAAGAAGAGGAAGAAGAGGAAGACGAGGAAGAAGAGGAAGAGGAGGAAGAGGAGGAAGAGGAAGAAGAGGAGGAAGAGGACGAGGATGACGAGTTTGAGAACAACGGTGAGGGCGAAAGAAAAGAATGACCTGCGCCACACACACATCATGACAAGATCGGTATAGCGACAATGGGGATGTGTTGGAATAGGGTTTATAAGATAGAAATCAATATATTCCAGCAACAGCATATGTTTAGTGCTGTTCAATGAAGGGCACTTGCCGTGTTTTGGAATCGAGGGCACTTAAGGCCGTGTCGATGCCCTAAGTGACCCGTTGATTCGTTTTCCAAGTGCCCTCTTCGGCTTGATACGGTTGGGATCCTGTTGAAATCGAACTTCTACCCGTGTCGAAGTGTGACAACTGCCACATTTGATTGGGGCCGACCCGGAATGGCCCGAACATGGTGAGTGTCAAAGCGTGTCATTTGAGTGCCAGCATGGGTGCGAATCGAGGTCTCTTCCCCCTTGAAAAGGTCACTTGCGCTAGTTTCGGTCCCCTCGCGTTCACGTGTCACTGCGGCTCGATTTGCCTGGGAGGGATATGCTAGGGAGGGCAACCCTGAGCTTTAATGCCCTAAGCGACCTCTTTGATTTAGGACCAAGTGACCTTCTTTTCAAAATGAATCATAGCACCCAAAAAGGAACCGAGGACACTTAACAGAAGCTGGGGTGTGTGTGTGTGTGTGTGTAGATTTTTCCCTCCCAACATTTTTTTGCGTACGCAATCAATTGGAAAATGAAGGATGATTGAAGAAAAAAAACAAGAACGATATATTATATGAATTTATTGATACTAGAGATATTTATTTACAATGGTTATTTAATATATATATTAATAAATTTGAAGAAAGATAGACAAACATAAATATCGAAAAGAAACAGATGGGATATATAGAGATACACAAAAATAGATAGAGAAAGATAGAGATTACGAAATAGATAGATATGGATATACGTAATTGAATTGCTTTTTATTATTAGTTATATATTTTTTTATATGTGTATATATTAAGAAATGATAAAGTAAATTTGGATGAGGATATAGGTAGGTTAATTAATAATATTTAGGTGTATTTATTTTGTATATAAGGAAATTTACGATATATGTAGTAGAAAGTAGTTTAAATAGAGGGTTGAACGGGGTTGTTTAAAGAATATTATATTTTGTAAATTTAATATATTAATATGTGGATATGATAATTTTTGATGTGGTTATGGGTTAAAAATTAAATTATATGTTTAATGAATATTTTATTATTGAAATGGAAATTTATTTATTTTTTTAAAAATGATTGGTATATATTATGGGAATTTTAAAGGACATTTTTTTTTGAAATTTCGGGATTTTTCGGGTTATACGAAGAAATTAGAATTTATATTATGAAGAAAAAAAATTGAAATAGATATAATTATTTATAAATATTATAATTTTTAGATATAAAATATGATTTTTATTTGCTATATGAGTAAAGGATTGAGAGAATTATATTTTTTGGTTTTTTATATGTTTATAATAATTTGGTTGAAATATTATAAAATATAGGGGTTTATGAATTTATATAAATTGTTTTAAATAATATTAAACAATCTTTATAGTTTTATTTATTATTATTATTTTACAATTTATATATATTAATATTATTTTACTTAATATAATATAAATAATATATTAAAATAATTTTATATTTTAAAATTAAAGGGGGGTTTTGGAGATTGTTAAAAAGATTTTTAAGGGGTTTAATCATTTTCTAAGTATAGGAGTTAAAGGGATAGTGTATTTTAATATAGTTAAAGAGTATAAAAATGAGTTAAAAAATATATTTAATAATATATATTTATTATGGAATGTTTTGGATTTTATGTATTTTTAATTAGAAATTGAATTATATTAAATTAATTTTAAAAATAATAATTAATGTTTGTTTAATTTTAGAATGTAAAATTTATTTTAATTAATTTAATAATATTTAGAATTTTAGAATTATATTATTCGAATTATAATTTTAATATGAATTGTTATATTTTTTAGTATTAATTAAATTATTGGGTTTAATAAATAAATTATTATAATTAAAAAATTAATAATATAGCTGAAAGCTTTGGGGTCTTAGCTTAGGCTTCGGGGTGGTCTAGATAAGAATCTACGAAGATATTACTAAGATTTTATTAGGATTCTATTAGGATAGCGTTCCAGACATGTTTTGTAGGGTTTTGTGGGTTGTTTTGGAAGGAAGTAGTATGTCGTGTGTAAGGATTGGAATGATTGGACGTAAGGTTTTTATTAGGGTTTTATTAGATTTCCATTAATTTTTTAACGGGTTTGTGGGGTGGTTTGGGATGACCTGGGTTTGAAAAAGATTCTATGAAAATTCCAGCGGCTGCGGGGTGGGTTGTACGAATTGGTTCGAGATATGGTTCTACGAGCGTTTTATTTAGGGTTCACCTATGAAATAATCCGGGGTGGTTTAAAGTAAGGCTTTATAAAGGGGTTTTAAGGTTTTACGAAATTCTAGAGTTATGGAATGATCCATAATTAAATAAGGTTCGAAAGAATGAAATTCATAATTTTTTATAAATTTCTAATTTGCTCAGACACCGCGGTTCGAAATATTCATTTTGTGATAAATTAGATCGTGTACGGGATTCATAGTGCAGAAATTACGGGGGTAAGGTTCCCCAAACGCTCCAAGGATTCTAGAAATATTCTATAAAATTCTATGAATTGCCCCGGAGGGAAAAATATGTCGTGCGCCCGCTATCTAAAAAGCTATCGGATTTTTAAGGGCTTAGAAGATCGTTTTGCTTATGGGTAGAACTAAGCAAAGCCAAAATTACACACATTGATTATTTTATCACTTGCTCATTTGCTCAGGCACCGCGGCCCGAAATATTCACTTTGTGATAAATTAAATCGTATACGGGATTCATAATGCAGAAATTACGGGGGTAAGGTTCCCCAAACGCTCCATGAGGGTTCCATTAGGTTTCTGCAAAAATTATAGGATAGTCCTAAGGAAAGATTTTAGCAAAATTTCATATTGAATTCTATAACAATTCCATGAAGACGGTTTGCGAGATTTACCGAACCTAAATCGGGATCCGATTACACCGTCGGGAATTAATCGGCCCGATTATGCCATCGAACTATACCAAGTTAACATCGTCTAATCTAACTAAATACAATTGTAAGGCCATATCCCAAAAATAATCGGCGTTAAACTATAATATAATTAGGATTATACCACGAAACCATCAAATCCCGCCCCAATCGAATCCCGATTAAATTTCATAAAGAATATAAATAAATATAATATTATTAAATTTATTAATAATATATAAGTTATTAATTATTATCAATTAATTATTTATATAATTTGCAAATAAAATAAAATTAAAATATATTATTAGTTCTTTAAACAAATATATAATAAATATCCAATTTCTTTTCTTTATATTATGATTTTTAGATTAGTTAATTGTTTTATTATTATTTTTATATTATTTATATTCATCATTAATAATATAATAAATTATTTTAATTTATATATTCAAATATATAATATTTGTTCAATTAAACCAATATATATTATATATCAAAAATATCAATTAATATATTTATTAATATATATAAGAACAATAATAAAACAATCAAAAGCAAGATTTTATTTTTTTTATTTTATTTTTTAAAATACATACAACAATATTATTTTTACAAACCGACCCATAAAAATAAAAACAAAACTTAAAACCAAAAACAAATATAAATAAACATTACCAAATAAACAAATATAATCATATAAACATCTTTCAATAAACAAAAATATTATTTCAAATACAAAAAAACACAAATAATAATTAATTTGTTAAAGTATTATTGTTATAAATAAACTAATATTATTATAATTATTTTTTTAAAAAAAAAAACAATATAATATTTAATATTTATTATAACCATTTTCTTTAATATCCAAATTATATACAATATAATGTAATATCCCCATTATAATTATATTTCCAATTATCCATATATTATAATTTCGTAAATTGTTAATTTATTTTTAAAATCTATAAATATCATTATATTTCATAAATTCATTAACCAATTATACAAAATAAGAAATAAATCCTCAAAATAAATCCTATAATCGTTCAATTGTTAAAACACAATAAAATAAAATAAAATAACAATCATAAACAATTGTCTCTGCCAGCTTTTCTAGAAATACACGACAGATTCCCTAATTTCCGCAGAGAGAACCACTTTGTCACCAGGACCTCCGCCCAAGCCCGATTGACCCCGCGTCGAAAGTGCCACCGCGTCGAAAGTGCCACCGCGACGATGTCCGAGCGAACCTCCGTAGACCTTCAGCGAACACAACGTTGCCTCTGACACAGAAACCCCTTGCCGTCCCACACCGCCAGAACCGGCTGTTCATGCTGTGCCCGCCACGAACTTGAACTCAGTGGGCCCCGTCCAAAGTGACCGCTCTGAGTTAGCGCTTGTTAGCTTGTTAGTCATTTTGCCGCCGACTGCTCAGACGAGCTGATCTTGACTTGGGGCCTGTAGTGCTGTCTTTTGCGTTGACTGAGTGTTGCGCCGTCGAGAAAGCGCAAAGTAGAGCAATCTCAGCGCCGGGTCAGGCAAGTTGAGCGTAGCACTCTGCAGGCATTTTTCCTTACTGTTGATATCCTGCGCCACCCTCGTACATCACTGTTCAACGTTCAACTTGGCACGGGTCACACTAGGACTTTTCCCCCCGCCGTAGGAATACACGTTGGAAGAATTGCTGGGTTGATTTTGATGTGTGTTTTTTTAGCGCTGCACCAAGAGATATTCTCCCGAATGAATGGTGGGGAATCTCTGTCCTTCGTCCATAAAATTCCAGATGAAGAACGAAGTGATGAAGAAAGGAATAGAAATGGAAAGAGAAGAGATGTACCTTCATGTCCTTCCTTCCCTAACACCTGACCAAGAGACGGGAAGGTGACATGTAATCAAGCCTGACAAGTGAATAGAGGCTTGACATGTCTCCATCCTTTCCCTCTCTGTTCACTCCTCAACGGTGTTTGTTCAGGTTGCAGGAAAAAAGGGGAAATCCTGGGCTGCCTTTTCCAGGGCGCCGCGTGAAGCGAGGCG